GAAGGTTGCGTGACTTCGTTATTTTAAAATACTTGTTATTATAATATTATTAAACCGAAAGAAAAATGAATATCTCTCTCTCTCTCACTGTGTGTGAAAGATTATACTATAAAAATACTGAACGTTAATAGATATAATAAGATGTATAGCACATAACATAATATAAAAATAAAATTCTTTTTTCAGTTTTTCCATGTATTGATTATAAGTTCCTCTATTACAAATCTTATAACTGCTTATAATTTAAATCTCCATGAAAGCTTCAGACATCTACACTTCTCTCAATTCATTTTTTTTTTTAACTCCCTTTGAAACTTAATCATGCAGTTTGCATCCCTCTGATCGCCCCTATCTGCGCTTCTCGTATTGATAATTAGCCCCATCCAACCTTAGCCGTAAGCTTCCAACTTCATTCTCCCCTCTTTACTGCGTTTAGTAATACGAAACATTGCTGCTTGTAATATCTCACTGATCGACTTTTTAATGCTTTGCAATATGTAGTTAATATTTTTGAGTTTTTAATTAAGCAAAACTTACTTTTCTCTCTCTTTCTCTCTTTCTCTTTCTACCGAGTTTTTATATTTTTATTAAAATGTTCTATTTTATATTTTTTTATTCCTAAAAGCGTATTATTGTTATATTTCAAAGAGCTAATTTCAACCAATTAAAATTACAAAAGCTCTTTAAATAAAAATTGCATTGAAAATTTTAAATAAAAATACCAAGACAAATTGATTTGTCTGGTATGATTTAATAATTACATCAATATTAAATTAATGTATTCTCTCTGTTCAAAAATTATCCTCTCCAATGTAATTGTCATGCTCGATTTCTCTGCAACGGAAACAGGTGCTTATACTCTTTACATATGTTACTTATGTACTGCAAGCTTGCGGATTGATAGGTTATCGGTGTATTTAGGACGCGAATGAATCGCCATAGCAACGTCAGAATACATTTCCACTTTGATTCGATGCGCGGCATCGCGTCGATGTCACGGCGCATCCGTGTGTGTGTGTTTTTGTGTGTATCGCTACAGAGGTGAACTACAGTCGGCGCGGCGTGGCACGTCGTTGCATTCGGCCGCACGGATGCACCCACGTGAGGACAATCATAATGACACTACGCGTCTGCACGCAGCTCCCGTTTCCCGTGCGAAAGGCGGAAGGCGCGAATGGGAAATGTGAAAACTCCTACGGTCTCATATTTATTGAACTTTACTTGATTGTCATTGTAATAATTTTTTAATATGAAAAGAGAGAAAACATTTTTAGGAGAGAATTATTATTATTTTATATAGATTAGAGATTGGATTATTATTATCTTATTTTTTATAATGTTTAAAAAAATAGATATCGAGATGACTATGGAAATTAATTATTTACGACAGATGCCCGACAGTGAAATAAAATTTTGATCGCACTCTTTCTGATTTTTTTTTGCTTTTATTTCCAATAGATTGTTAGCGCAAAAATTTAATAATGACTAAACAATATTTATAAAAGATTGACAAGGAAAAAAATCAAATTTATAATTAAAGTACTTTTTTAATAATTAAATTTAATTTATAATTAAAAGTGATCAAATGACTTATGCTAAATTCTCGCACTTTGTTCATTATTAAAAGTTAAAAAGCGATTTTGCTTAGTTGCAGACAATACAGAGATTTTACAACACAATAGAATATATACGATGGCACAAATGCGTCACATTTTCGACGAAGAAGTTTCGTACAATAAGTCCAACTTCTCGCAAAGTACTCCAACTTCAAATCGATATATTTATTTCGCACGCGCTGTTTTATCGTCGACAACGTTAAATCCGCGACTTTGCAAACTTCAAGATTGAATTACATCAGGTTTGGCAAAAAATCACCGATCGCCGGCGTCGTGGACGCGAACAAAAACAATCGATCAGTGGAATCGTGCTCGGCAAGTCGATTAGTCGTGTCGTGAAATTCGAAATCTTCCGCGGGCACTCTCGGGAAATCGTCTGTAATAAATCGACTAAAAGTGGAGAAAATTCGCCTCGCGTCGGTTGGAATAATGATGTAACCGAGGTTACTTCTCCCCCAAACGCAAAATTTTCTACCTAATGGGAATATTCACAAAAGCTGGAGAAACGTAATAAAATTTTCAATCAAGAAAGAATAAGAATAAAAAGGAGAAGAAGGATAATATAGGGATATACGTTCATATTACTTTTAGAAATGTTTATTATTTTTATAAATGTTTAGAGGAAATTCGCAAAATATATATCTTAAAATGTAAAGAATTTTAACGAATTTCTTAGGAAAGCTTATTTCCCGTCAAGTTTGTTCATCTCACGCGATGTCTTCAATCGTAGTTTTTCGCGTGTCTTTCAAAGAGATAGAACGAGTCGGCGCGCAGGATAACGTAGCGATGGGATCAAGCGTGATTTAAACGGTACCGATTTTTTTTTCGACGAGGCACCGATAGGGAAGGTCAATCGTGGTCTCGAAGGTCACGACCTTCTCTTCCGTGAAATTAATCCCTGGCAATTTAGAATTTCTTCATAGCTGGAACCTGCTGTGAGTTATTCTAACATAATATTGCAAAGTACATTGCTTCTTGATAGACGTGTAATTTCATGATTACAAATTGCTTTTTTAAAATCACGACTATTTGCATTACGATTCCAAAATAACAATGTAATAATTAATAAGCAATTAAATAATTAATTTAGCCCACATAAAAATATTTGTAATTGATTCTATTAAATTAATATATACATATAAGAAAATATAAATCTCTTTTATGTTTTCAGTTATATTTTGTACAATAAATTGAATCCATTACATTATTTCGAGGGAATTATTATGCTTGATATTTTAGAATGAAATTCGCAAATTTATAATGCTATTATAATAGAATAGAAAAATAAAATCCAAGGCTATTTTTCTCGTCTATTTCTTAAATGAAAATTACACTTTGACAACTTTGAAGGGTGTTTAATGTTGCACGAGAAATTAACGCGAAGTGATGAAATGCGATGCGAGCGTGATTCAATTATTAGATCGGACAGCGATTATTCTAACGTCCGTCGATGGCTTTCGACGAGAGAGCCGCTTGTGAATCGATTGAAAATTACAGTTTGGGAATTGGATCGGGCCCATCGCTAGCCTCGGTTCGGAAGCCGAGGGGAAGAGACGAGAAACACACGTCGGGGAGAAGCACAGCGAGCGAATAAGTGGGGACGACGGAATGAAGCGCATGGTGGGATGTGGGCGAGGGTGCGCGGGGCAGGAGAGGGATGATGAGGGAAGGGCGGCATGAAACAAAGACAAGGGGAGCAAGAAAGGGGTTGAGGGGGAGAGAACGAAAGGGAGGTCGGCGATAGAGAGAGACGATAGAAGCCGACCGGTAGAAAGGTTGTAGTAGAAGGGAAACTACTATTGGAAGAACTCTCGGGGTAAGAGAGGGAGGAAGTATAGTGGCAGTGGAAAGGGGAAGGGGAGGGTGAATCCGCGGGGTTGGGGGAAAATACAACACGGACGAATACACACACCAGAGAGCTAAAAGATGAAAGTATAACCCGGGCAACAGTGGCTCCCAAGCCAAATAGAACATTATGTCGCGTATAAATAAAGCCGTTTCCCAACTTTGGCCCGATAGATATTGCAACGCCAATAAATTATCTTCCGCTAGCTACCGTATAAAATCGCCCTGGGCGTGTACGAGGTAAATCACGCTTCGTTCAACGCGGGAAAAAAAAATTGTTTTTGTTCCTATTAAAATTAAAAACTTCGACGAATTAGTATACATTTATATAATTATTATCGTTTCTATTAAAAGGATAAAAATGCCGATAAATAAATATATAATTATATTTATTTATCCGGATAATTATTATTATTTTACTTTTTCTCTCTCTCTTACACACACACACATATATACACAATATTAAAAATAGATATAAAAATGGATAGAGATAATTTTTCATAGAATTATTATTTTGTATCAGACAGAAAAATAAAAAATTATATAAGCAAATGTATTTATAATCAATAAAGCAAATTTATATATGCATAGCGCAGATCACATGAAGTCATTTGGATACATGTGATATGATATCGTTGAAGTTGCGTAAGTGTTTGAACTCTGCTCAAATGAGTGATAATAATTTATGCGTTTAATGCGAAAAGCAGACGCATACGGGGCAAGTAGTAAGTCAAACTTGGCGAAAATGACATCGCTCTGAAAGCACAGGCGAACAATTAAATTATCGTGGAGGCGGAGTAGATAACGATGCACTCGAGGGTGCAGCATAAACCACGGGTTATGTCACGTGGATTATGTGCATATATGTATAACATTTCATGTAGTTGGAGGAAATGAGAGACCGTTACACACTCTCGTCCTGACACAGTTGTATCTCCCCGTGAAAGCTCGCGGGAAAGTTCCTGGCATTCTCACGTAGAGTCGCTACCTCTCAATTGAAAGTCGGTAAACGCGGCGATGAAAGCCGCATTGTAGATAGGTAAACGTAGGTGTCCTGTCGGGAAAATTCTTGCCCAGATTCCTGCCGAAATCGCGAATTCGTACGAATTTTCGATCGCGCCAATTCACGATCTCTCGATCTTGATTTATTTCTTTCTTTATCGAGCAAAGACTGTTTTTTCTCTCGTAAAATAAAGTTCTATTAATTACACAATTAATACTAGCTGCCGCGTTTTTTACATTTTTTAATTTTTTAACATTTATGTTATATTGATTTTTATCAGGAATTACATCTCGCTTGATGGGATAAAAATTTTCGCGACAAGCCATATTAAAATTTTATAATAAAAATATACGAGCTTTGGAATATTCTCACATATTTGCCATTAGTTGTCATTAATAAAAATAAAGATCTATCTTGTATTTGAACGCGTATTTTCTACAGATGAGATAATATCGATAACAGATAAATAATCAATAATATATCTAAGCTTCTCTGATTAATATTGCTAATTTCAATTATTTTCCTTTTGCTTTCAGGATGAGGTGCTGACGATATCGGAAAAGGTGGTTGTTCGTGTACACGATCTCGTCACGTGGCTTTCGCCCACATTGGAATGGTCATGGGGTCGAGAGGTGTCCTATCCAACGACCCCGACGTCGTCTCCGGAGGCCAGCCCGCTGCGATACGAAATGCCGCAACCGCAGGTGCTAACGGACCCAGGGATCGACTTCTCGGACGTCGACAAACAGCAGAAGGAATACGAGAGCAACCTGAATTCTTCGAAGAGGTTGGATTGCTACCAGACGAAGGTGGTGGTGCTCTCGTATCCCAGGTACTGCCGTTACCGAGCGCTCCTACGTAGACTCGAGGGTGCCGAACCTTCCTGGTTATGTTCGTCCATCGCAGCCGCGTTAGGAGGCTTCACCGCGACCCCCGGCACCAGGGTACTCTTCTGCCGAGACACCTTCGACTATCCCGACCTCGAGACTCACGAACTACTATGTAATCATTTAGGTATGTACGATTGGCGATCATTTATTTTGAATTCAATTCACGATTCGACTAGCAAAGAAAATTCTATAAGAAAATTTGCTTCGATTTGTGTTATCTCTATTTTTATACAATTGTAGATAACACAAAATGTAAATATTGTGAAATAATCGTGTGATCGATAAATATTTTCCTCAAAACAAGTAAAATATTTATTATAAAATTTTAAAATATTAAAAATTATAAAATATTATAAAATTTTTTATTGCTTGTGTGTAATTTTCGAAAAAAAAATCCTTTCGAAAATTGAAATATTGATGTAAAATATTTATTCATGTTATAACTATTGAGAGACACTTGTATCTGCGTTTAATTTATTAAGATGCTTATAATACGTGACCCTTAAGTTTACTTAGATGACACTACGTATATGTTACGTGTGCATGTATTACTATATATAGCACGTTATCTATTAATATTATTAACCGATATTTACTTTTATTTATCTTTCGAAATGGCAACATGTAGCAATCACGAAAACACTGATATGCTTTTAGCATTAAGTTTTCATAATGCTTTCTCTCTCTCTCTCTCTCTCTCTCTCACCTCTCTCTTTTTCTTTCAGTTGAAGTTATTTATTAGAAATAACTGTATTAATTATTGTTTTATTTGCTGTAAAAATAAATTTTCTTGAAAACTCCTCGCAATCAATACAAGATTTTATTTTGTATTCTTTTCTTTTTCACGTGAGAGAGAAAGGGAAGAGTGTGTTATTTCTTTGCCGGTTATATTGTGATTTAGAGAGTATATTTCTTTTATATAATAACCTTTATTTGGAAAGATTTTTTTGGATATAATATCATTTTTTGTCGTAAAAAAAAATCAATAACTGAGCGTGAGAAAAGAAAAAGAAGATATAGAGTATTATTACGAAGTACTCTCTCTCTCTCTCTCTCTCTCTCTCTCTAAATGCATTAATACGGAGAACGAAATCGTAAAGCAAAAAAAATTTCAGACTATCAATTGATCAAATATTTCAAATCTCTTCAACTTCTCGTGTATACGCACGCAAAGTTTAATATAATAAAATAATATGAATAATATAATTATATTATATATATTTTAGTAGATAATATCAAATTGTATAACTGATATATATTTTCATTTAATATAATATAATCAAACATAAATATCTTTTTAATGATATCTTTCGAAGTTTCACATGCGAGAAACTCGTCCTAAATTCATCTTCTCTTAAATATATAATTATCAAGAAAAATTTAGGGAAATAGAAACCGCTCGAAAAGCGAGTAATATTATTTTCCATTCGTTACTCTCTATATTTTTTGGAAGAAACATAACAGCTAATACACACATACATACGGACACAAAGAAATGCCGATTTCAAACACACCGCGACCTTAAAGATAGACGAGCTATTGAAGGATCGGTCGGCGCTGGAAAAAAAAAAACTGACTTTGCGGTAAACTCGTTTCATTGGATCGCGCGCGACGCCGGGAACAATCCCGCAGGATGTAATAGACCAGATAAGGCCCAAGCGTCACGAACGGTATCGAATGGTTAAGCTAGATCCCATTGTCAGCGAATCTGTCGTCGACGTTCACATTCGTTGTTTTCCGGACGCATCGATCGCGCGTAAGCGAAACAAGCGAGGCGAGCGAGGCGACGCACGACACGCATGATCCTGCGCTCGTGACACGATACACGTGCACTTGCGTACGAACCGGCTAATCGAAAGAAATCCTCGTGTGGCGTATGTATTTCGACGCTCGGATCGAAAACACCGGCGACGTCGAAGAGTGTGCCTTTCGCGTGATATCGTTCGTCGCATCGCCAGTGTTCTTTTTTTTTTTTTTTTCTTATCGATCTAATTCATTGCCATCGGGACACTTTATTGTTGCCACGGTACCGTTTATCGCGATTCGACAAGCATAGCGTAATGAATATTGTGTTGTGTGCATATAAGTGTAAATTATATACTGCTGACAAGGATAACGCGAAGGAAGATCGCGTGATCTAATTGATTTGTGTTCTGTTGACTCAATGTATTGCGGACAATTTCGGAAATAGACTGATTATTGTAATCGCGAACTAAAGTTTATGTGAATTTATCGGTTTTCGACAGTGCAAATTATCCTAATCTACGAAAGAATTGTAACTCGTTTGTTTTGTCTATCTCGTTCGTCGTATTTTTACGAAGTCTACATACTGTTGTCCGCATAATTTACATTGTTTAAACTGTTCCTACTGCCCGTAAATTATTACGGTTGTTATACGATTCTTAAAAAGTGTGCAATTGTAAGTAACTGGAATTTTACGACTGACACAATGGCCATCGTAATGAGAATTCGGAATAATCAAGTAGTTTATCTGAATATACCCGGTAAGAGACAATAGAATATATCTTAAAAACATTTCCAAAATGAATATAAATCTCGTTTTTGTATCGATTTTGTTATCACGCATATATTGTCAATGTAATACACATGATTGAAACTCGTTTTTATATAATACGAAGTTAAAGTAGTAGTTGACTTGTTAAGTATATAAAATATACAAGTTATTGCCAACTGTTTTAAAGCATTTGTCAAGCATGTGTTGTCTTACATATTTTTTTATTTTCGCAGAGAATCGAATATTTTATTATTTTGTTAAAGATAATCGAATGCCGTAATAACTATGATGTAATATTATCCATTCTATTTTTTATTGTTTAATTTAAAAAATATTCGGTATATACCATGTTTTACGTAACATTTTGTCATTTTATTCTATATAAAATATATATCAACGTGTATCAAAATAAATCGAAACTACGATTGCAATTTCATAAATATTATTTATAAATAATTAATAATACGTATGCAATCAATGGACGAAAGAAGAGATTGCACTTCATGTGTGGATTTTATAATATAGTTATTCTCATATTTTGTTGTAAAGAACGTTATTAAATAGTTAAATTAATAAAGTTTCATATGAACCGATCGCGTATAATCGCATATAAATTGTGTTACTACGAACTTCCGAGGCATTTCGACGTTCTAGTTTGTTTATCAATAACATTGTTTCGCATCAAAATAGATAAATACTTTCTCGACCTTGTAACCATACACTACTATGAAATATTTGACCGAAATATTCATGCGTGTTCTTACCTGCTTTATTATTGTGCTTACGATTATTACCTTGAAACAATTATTTCCTATGAAATATGTTTATTTAATTTTAAAAACATTGCGTATCTACTATCTATAATATAAACAAAATTTTATATATAAATAGATATATGCTTCAATTTGAAAATCATTATTTCAGTCATCATTAAGTGACAATAAATGTGTAATTTGGCTTTCTTATCGATGATTTCGATATCGAAACAATTATTAGTGACACAAAGTATTTACGCGCAGCAATAAAATTGCTGTGTGACTTTAATTAGCGTTTTTTCTATCAAGCCTTATATACTAAAAAAAAAATTAATATATGTATATGTACGAACAAAAAATACAGCATTAGATATGCAAATCTCTGAGAGGGGCAAGGGAGGAAGAAAGTAGGTGAATCTTAACGATGCTTTAATATGTTTATCTGTGTTTTTCAGCACCAAAATTAAAGGGCAGACCACGGCGAAAACGTAAAAAGCGTAGCGTTTCGCCGGGCGAATCTTCGAACGAGAGCGAAGCCTCGGTGGCATCGACGTCGAGGAGCACACCGGCGAATACTAGCACTAGCCTAGTTATACCCACAGTTGGAAGGCCACCCTCTTCCGCGGTACGGCGGAGTGAGAGGAAAACCAGCGCAGAGGAGAAGAAGTTTATCACCGACGTGCAGAGTTTTATGAACTCTCGGGGTACGCCGGTCGGAAAGATGCCACTGCTGGGCTACAGGCAGAGTCAGTATCTTGTTATTTTTCCTCGGTATCCGATGACCGGTCTTGCCACCGGATGGTCAGATCGATTTTTTCAATGTTTCGAATTTCAATTCGCGTAATTCCGACAGTGATTCGACCGTCAGACTGCACAGAGCTAACATACAGCAGGGTTTTCTTCTCGCAAAATCGATATCACAATCACCCTGTGTTTACAGTTTTGGACAATGGTTTTAAATGTGTCTTTTTATCTCTAGTCGATCTGTTCCTGTTCTACACGAAGGTGCAAATGCTCGGTGGTTACGATTCCGTCAGCGCTGGCCGTCTTTGGAAAACTATCTACGACGACATTGGCGGCAATACGGGTTCTACGAGCGCGGCGACTATTACACGTAGACATTATGAAAGGTAAAATGTTTTAATAAATATCTATTAGATCCTTATTACATTTCTACAAATATTAATATTTCTATGATTAATATTTTTTTTCTTCCTATAACGTAGCAATTTTTGATGTTTATACCGTACTTGCATAATAACAAAGGATCTTTTGCAGATTGTTATTACCTTACGAAAGGTATCAGCGAGGTGAAGAGACAAAAGTAAGACTGAATCATGGACGACGTACTAAGAGTATGAGCGTGTTCGAGGATTCAGATATCAAGGAAGAGCCTAGTGATTCGTATCCATCAGAGACATCTCCGCCTATAGAAGCAATTTCCGCAACTACAATATCACCCCTGCAGCCAATAATATCAGCAGCAACGGTAAATTGCGTTTTAATTTAATTAACGCAAAGATACAGATATAACTGTTACATTTCCTATGTATCTTATATTATATATTGAGACAAATTATTTATACTGTATCTCTCGCACTTTCAGACTCTCCTCTCGAATGAGAAACCCAAAATAGAATCCGGCAAGACGTCTTCGTTGCGTAGCGTACGAGTAAAACCGGAACGTTTAAAATCCCTGAACACAATAATCGCCAATAGCGCGACACCTTCCAGCCAGCAAGCTAGCCAACTGCCAAGTCCACCGCCATCCTCCAACACGTCTATTTCGACTCCGAACTGCACACCCTCCACAACTCCAACGAACGGTACCAGTAATAATCAGAGCGTCTTGGAAAGACAGCTCAATAGTCCTTTGATATCCCAACAAGTTCCACCATCGTGTTCGCCACCGGGCTTGCCTGTGACCAGCGTAGCGACGAATGCATCGGCAGTCGTCTCTCTAACACCACCGCCGGAAAAGGATATGAAGGAGATTAAACTGGATCCCAAGCAAACTACTCTACTAGCGCAGGGAAAAGAGAATATACCGCTGTTCGGCGGCGAGAAATTTGCGGAAAAAACGATTGTACCGCCGAGATCGCCCGAGGTGATCGACCTCGAGAACGAGAGCGATACGAGTCGGGACAAGATAATCATTCCCAGCTTCAAAAAACGCAAACTCGAGATTCTCCGCGAAGGCGGTCTCGAGGTCACCGCCGTCGATCTGGATGCACGGCCGAGCGTGATCCAAAGCAGCGTCACTACACCGCTGCAACAGACGCCGCCGCCGCCGGCCATGAGGTCCATCGAGGAGAAACAACCGTCGATCTCACCGTATCCGATTCCGGCCACACCCAACTCCATTCCCAAATTAATATCCGTCACCGTGACGCCCGACATAGGACATATGTTGCCCTCATCGCAGGAGCATCAGAATCATCAGTCGCGAGTTCCGGTAGGCAAGCAACAACCGGCTCATCACAATAATAATAATAACAGCACGATGAACAACAATAATGTAATAAACAGTCGGGTGATAAACCTCGGTAATTCCAACAATGCTACGCTACTGCAGCTATATGCGAACGCGAACGTCGCACCATCGATCTCGACGACGATTCCGCTTGCACAGCAGGCAAATAATCGCTTCGTATCACCAAATGTTCCGAACGGCAGGTTGTTGCCGCCTAAGGTGACACAGTCGAAATCGATATTTATGCACAACGAGAGGACAGTTTACGGGAATCCTAAGGATATTCTTATCTCTCCGAAGCATCGCTCGTTGCATCCGCATCAACAATCGCAACAACGCTCGCAATATTCGCAAATGAGCAACGACAATGGACAAGGAGGTGTTCTCGATCTTACGCAGAAATCCAATGAGAAACTGACGTTCCCCAGGCCCAGTCTAGAAATAGTCAGAGTACCTGTAGTGCCGAGGCCTAATCCGTTAAATCTGGAAGTGCGGAATTTATCCGCGGCTAAGGACAAACCGACGTTAGACAGATCTTCCGCCGATTGCTCGAAACGAGTATCCTTTCCTCCCTATCAGAACGTAATTGACAGTCGAACCATCGCTTCTAATAACCTCGAGATTACTCTCGTAAATCCCAACAAGCAGAAAAACAATCATCATCCAAGTATACCGTCTCATGTCCAGATACCGAGTCCACCTAATAAAAGTAATGCAATAGGGGCAGTCAATAGCGCGCAGAGAAGGCAACAACAGCATCAGGTGAACGGAAAGTATGCGGCGAGAAACGAGCCGATTTCACCATATACGCCGAGAAAGCCGAGTCATCCCGTCATACCTAACGTACCCAACTTAAATCACCTAAATCACAGTGGAAATTCGTTTCCCAGAATGCAGGCAACGACGATGCAACAACAACAAATAAGTATTGACAGGAGGAAAGCGGCCGCAGAGGCCAGCAGGGATCATCAGCATCGTAGGATCAGCGAGAGCGAGAAGTCGTCTTTGGTAGCACAACAGCAGCAACAGCAAGAATCTAGGCAAAGCGAAGCCGGCCGACGACACAGTTTACCCAGCATACCATCGGGTTTTGTGCCGGCAGTATCGCAAAACAATTCTGCCGCATTCCCTTTACCACAACTATCGAACGCGCCCGGCAAATTCTTACCGATATTGGACCCTATGTACTACTCCGCGTTCTACAACGGCTTGTTCCCGCCACCGATTCCGCCCACGGCCGCTGCTGCCGCGACGTCGTTTCTACCACCGGAATTTAGCGCGTATTACAAAGAATTACTAGTTTCCTCGCAACCAAGACTGACGGGGATAACGGGGCAGCCGCCGTATCAGCAGCCGGCTGCTCCAACGTCTAAATAGAAAATGGGATCTCAACATGTAGGGTTTCCGGCATAGCGAAGGATGCTTGGATTACTAGAGAAACATGGATCCGTCGGACTTGTTTCGGCTCGTGTCGAAACGTATATAGCACGCACGAAGCGCGATTGTATGGATAAAAATGCGGCACATTGAGATTATCTACGTTCAGTTATGTTGTTTTTATTCGATTAATAATTGGTAATTATTCACAGCAATGTTATTCACAGTGTTCGTTTATGATAGAAGAATAGTTCCCCAATATCTCGTGCAAAGATAAAATAAAATATCGGCAAATTGGTTACGTAATTGATTATGAATATTTTTGTAATAGATTATGTATATTCAACAAATTGCAATAATGCGTTAGAATCTTATTTTGCCTATTTTATTGCTCGAAATTTTGGAGGATTATCGATATTAAGAAAAAATACACCCTGTGATAAAAATGCGACAAAAAAAGATTTAATATTCAAGAAGACATTCGAAGGAAAATTGTTATTTTTATATGTTTATTTTATATATGTAAATTGTATACGCGTGTTTTTCAGTTTCAATTATATTTCAAGGAAAGAAATCTGATTTAAAAGCTTGCATTTTCAGTGTCTCATGTTAGAGTTTCCAAATATTTTTTGTTATTAGGCTCTCCTCCTAAAAATTATCTTTTTCTTTTTTTAAAGCGTACAAATAAATGCATATGTATTGTTATCGTTGATTTTCAGCTCATTCAGTTTTTATTTTTGGTTTTCGTTTCGTAAGGCACATTATGATTTATTTGGAATGTACTATGTGATAAAGATTCAAAACACAAAGAAGAAAAGGGTAAATATTTGTGACCGGCGGATCATCGGAACGAATAATTGTTTACTGTGTAATGGTAAATCTTATATAGTAACGCTCGCGAAAACCCTATGTAATGTATAAGTTAGGCAATTTTCATTCTAATAAAAAAGCACTCGTACAAACATACATGCAAACACACACAATCGCATACACCGATCTGTAGTCACTCCTAATGATATAAGCGCACGCATGCAATGTTATAGCAGCGACATGTATATAGTGTATATAATCACGTAAATCATTAAGCTAGATAAATCCTGCATTATCTTTCAATATTACGTAAGAAGGTTAAGTTTAGTAAATGTACAGGCTGTCTTACTCGTGTGGCCAACGATTGTCGTATCGCTGTTTCTTTCGAGGAACGAAAACGATATTTTGCAGAATATTTCCGATGGTCTCTTTTTTTTTTCATTCGGAAGAAACATGTGAAGATCTTTTATTTTCTAACACCGTGTGTTGGTGTGCGGAAGAGCACGTAGTACCTTTTCATTCTATTTCATTTTATTTCGATAGAAACTAAAGAAAATTAAAGCAATTGACTGATTGTTACGCGGCCGCTGCCGAACGTGTGATCGGACATCGCGGGCCACCACAAAAAAAATACTTTGAAAACAGATTTAAAAAAAATTACCAACGGTATATCCATGTTAAATGTAGACATATTGATAGAATATGTTCGTTTTAGGATACTCTGATCAAAAGAAATAAATATGAGAAAATAATGTTAAAATATTCGTAACCCTAAGATGTACAAGAGGAAGAAAGGTCCATTCTGGGTCGTTCTCTGGCGAAAAAGAAAATCAGATTTCTATATTGATGTCTTTCAAGAATATGAGTTGTTCACGTTTTTCGGATGGTTCTTTCGTGATAAGAAAGTAGGCGTTCCGGCGCCGAGTGCGAGACCGCGGCTGATTAATAACAGCCCCTTCCAGTGGTATTCAACGAGTCGAGAAACACACAGAATTATCGATTGCAGAGCGCAAGAATCGGGCACAAGATGAAGCGAAACTGCTACCACTGTTGTTATTTTTGTAAGACCGCGGGTAACTTCCGGCGAACCGGGCGCGTCGCGACTCTTCACCGTCGCGTCGCGTCACTTTTCGAAATGGTGCTATGCGACGAAAAATTCTATTGTAAGTCTTTTCGAAAATTTTAACGGGCGTTGTTGGGTACCAGTGGATCTCTGGCGCGATTGCCCGAAAGAACTACGATTTTAAGATATAATAGATCTTCACGTCCAAGTCTGATAATCGTATACAAAAAAAGAAGCTAAAAGAACTCCACGGGTTCTATCGTATGTGTAAAAAAAAGAGAAAAATCGAATATATATATACGAGTTATATACGTATATATACGAGTTCGTTATGATTGCGACTCGGTGTAATATCGCGGGGTTTGTACGAGGAAGCAAACGTTGGCGAAAAGGATAGCAAAACGGATATTGTCGAATATCCGCAAGGAAAAGGGCTTGTACGAGAATACGTGCCATAAAAAACTGATTAGATAGCGATTACGAACAATGGCGACGGTCATTTGTATATGCTTTTGACGAGCCCTTTAACAGTTAGAGAAACTAAGAAGGTAGACGCGAATCGAAAAAATAAAGAATAATATTAATAATAATAATAATGTGCAAAATTTCATGTGGAAGATTTTATATAATTTTTTTGTTTATATTCTGTTGCCGCGATTATTCTGTAAATCTCGAGTCCTTTTGTAGCGTGTGTGCGAGTGTACGGGATGAACATGTCGATGAATGATGAATGAATGAATCGTGAAAGAATCTTAGAGAATGATTCAAAGAAAGTCTATTTGTTTTCGTTTCTGCGAGTTTTCTTTTCAATTTGTATACTTAGTAGAACGATTTTAGTATAACCCTCGCGCGTTTTCCCACTTTAATAATAATTATTATTATTATGATATAAATATTTTTTATTATATGGGCATTTCAGTTCCTAAGTTGGAAATAAAATATCTACTACAAACGGACTTTTTTTAATTGTATGAACACAAATACCAAGAAAGAGAGAGAGAGAGAGAGAGAGAGAGAGAGTGATATATCATGCACTTGCAATTACATTTTTTCTTTTCAGGATTTTTTCGAAGTACTAAAAAACATATTTATATATTTTTATCCCAAAAATATTTAATGCTTTCTATATACGGTAGGTATATCTTTTTCATAATTTAATAATTTTGAAAAATAATTAAATTTTTCTCATTCTAGTTACCAGACTTGTTAATATCCTACATTGAAAAATAGAATAATAATTTGGATAATCTTATAATGAATAAGAATAGTCTTTTTCTATGGTTGCCGATTAATTTTAATTATATACGACACATTGGCAATTTATATTTACATGTTACTATTGCTTCAGAGCTATAGAAGCTAATTGTTAGCTATATATAAAGATAAAATATTGAGATTTCAGTGTCGTATAAAGTAGAAATTGCAAAAAGAATTGGTAAGAATTCGACTAGAAATTAAGATGTCTGCATGATGCTTCATACTTATGAGAGAGAATACGCGCTTTATGTGGAGCCGCGCGACTCGCCCTAAATACAGAAACCGCTTCCATTAGCCCGACCGTCGACGTCGGTATCGGCGCGTAGTGCTCTGAACTCAACAAAACGACCGAAAAACGAAGAAAAAGAACGGCACGGAGTATCACGGCGTGGAATGCACGGGCACATATGCGAAATTTAAAATCTCTTTACGGCAGCTATAAACTGATAACCTGTTTAACCAGTCTTGTGGACTGGCGGACATTGGACGTTTTACCTTCGCAAAATCATTCCTATTCCGTTTTTTCCACCGTTTCCTCTTTCTCGCATTTTTTATTTTTTCCACTCACAAGACTGGCAGACCTCTTTGTTTTACATATCGGTGCGTAGTATTCTGTAGTTGCACGTCCGCATGATTTTGTTGGCAAATATAAAATTAGAAAATAGCGGATACATATGAGAACAAATTACTTTTGGCAACTGTGAAACACGCTCGTTTTAAAGACATAAATCATATATTTCATCATAAAGACATATTTCGTTTTATATTCTGTCACACAGCTCGAATAGTTTTAATTTTAATTGTCAGCAAAGTTATGCAAAAAGTAATATTATTTGGAGTCCTCTCCATTTTACGACCGTTATGAGATAAAGACTTACCCTCTCAGTCCCGTTACCTCTATATCTCGACGAAAGAGCATCGTGCTTGCATCTACACACATTGTTGTGTTCCGTCCGGCGAGTTGATGGCTTATAACTAAGAGAGAAAGAGCTTCTAGCCATCTTTTTTTCTCCATGTTATAGTAGAGAGATGTTTTATTTGTCGGCAGCTAGGTCTCACTCGGTATTCGTGCTCTATACGAAATAATACACAATTAAAAATATATGATTATAAATTTGAGGCACTTTAATTTAATTTTAATATCTATATCTATGGTACTTATAATAGTAATAAATTTATATACAAAAATGATTAATGTACATATATACTCGTATGTGATATAATATATGATTTTTTTTTTATTTGGGCGCATAATAAATTTAGATCAATTAATGTTTATACATAATATGTATCAACAGCACGATTGACTGAGGGTAAACCGACATCCCATCGCTTGTAAAATAGAATTTAAATTTCCTTGTGACTTTGCTTGTTACAATAGCTAAAGTGTACACGAATGTTAGAGTATATATGTGTTGGTCCTGCACGCACGCACGACGAGCGATGATTAAGGTAGTGGGGCAAAATTGTGTTTACCTCTCGATCCCCCCGGTGACAATCGACAAACACACGGTCGTTGTGTAGTATTGTCGCGCATCGCCGCATGCCAAACCGCCCCTATGTACACTGCGGGATCGCAGTTTAGACCCGCATTCGCCCACGAGGATCCGCTGGAGCAGTCGCGTGTCTCTATCGCGGTTAAGGCGAGAGCGTGTCATCGTCGAGGTGACGGCGAATCTTCTGGCGCATTTTCCCGCGCGATTTCTTCGTCGATACAAACCGAGCTTGCCTCGTATAGCGAGCTTGTTGGGTAGCAGCCGAGATCGTGGATAATCTGGAAAAATTATTTATATTAATTGCGTTCTCTTACTTTATCACATGCGCGATCGATCGACTACTATTAATCCGATGCAACATTGCGAGTCCATTAAATTATACGATATACATTTTTTATTGTGCTTAGGAAAAATTAACGACGGGTGAAAATGATATGAAGTATGCAGATGGGGCCATCTTGCGGATTTTTAAAAATTTAAAAATTTTTTAAATTTTAACTGCACTGCTGACACGATATATATTGTATTTATGACAATTGCCTTTACTTTTCTCGATATTTCTGATACTACACATTTATTTGCCAACATATTTATATTCTCAGTAACTTAATTTCTCTCTAATTTTATTAATATGTTTGATACAATGCTTGAAATTATAATCAATAACTTATTTAATATTCATTTTAATGATGCGCTCTCTCTCTCTCTCTCTCTCTCTCTCTCTCTCTCTCTCTCTCTCTCTCTCTCTCTCTCTCTCTCTCTCTCTCTCTCTATGGTTCCGGAGGTTAATTTGACAAAATTATCATACACGTTCGCGCTATCAACACGATACATATATTATATTTACGCATAATGCAATTCACCTGATATTTTTCTCGGCACTTCCAATATTGCAAGTTTATTTGCAGGCGAGATTTGTGGGATGATAGCTAGACAAAGCGACGCACCATTCTTATTTTCCTAATATAATATAATTATATAGTTATAATTCTACCGATTACGACATTAATCGATCTATTAAATCTGCACTACAAGCATGCCGACGTCACAAATAACCGCGCGCGATTACACTACGATAAGCAAGCGAGAAGAGGATCACTATCTCAATACTCAATTTCCGTTACGTTCGCGCGAAATCAAACAAGTATGACTGTTATGACGTGAACATAGACTTATATAGATAGACAGCGCCTTCGCATTGAAGGTAGGAAGACCATTAAATAAAAAAGGAGTAGATAGGCAGATGCATTTCTTGTCCAACTCTTTTTTTTATTGGAGCAAGAAAGCATCTGACTTTCTCTTACTAATGTTGGCTTCTTGTTTCCAATAAGAGTGCGCGCATCCTATCTACTAATAAAGCTATAATCGCGACATACATTATTTAAGCGCTAATTTATGTTAAATATGACATAACATGTATATCGAATACGAAATGCAAATATTACATATATAATTATTTTTATTACTAATTATTATATTAACATATATGTATTTCGTATGTAATCTCTTGGAAAAAATGAGTTAATAAAAATTTCTGTCTCAATTTTGTATGGAATATCTCTATATGTATATTAATCTGCACGTTTGACGGAAGAAAATAAAGTCCTTCATTTTTCGCAAATACAATACAAACAACCGTCCATTTGAGAATTTAGAATAACGTATTTGAAATACACTGCATTACCGCATATTTACGTATGCAAGAAATAATGATTAAGATTAAGATTAATATTCAGATGAAAATTATCACGACAATTCACGGCAATTCTCGCACAGAACATGGAATTTTACCGTTTATCATATTTGTGTATTAATAACTTACTTTTGATCGTTTCGATTCGATAAATATCTGACAAGTGAGAAGCGTAAATAAATATACGTATTGCTTTGCTCCTTTCTTTACGGATTTTCGTCGCATCTCTAAATGATTAGCAGCTGTATTCGCGCCACCGTGTATTGTAAACAAAGTGGCCAGGCTCGCTTCCAAGAATTGCCTCCCCTCCTTCCTCGTACGCACGGCGTCTGTCAAATAGTTTCTCGTTTGTACCATATAATCTCGACTATTGCGCGAATTAATACTTATTTTTCATGATTACCTCGTGTTATACGAACATATTATTCACTGAACTACATATATCGAGATAAATCAACTTTTAATAAGTTAATGTAACGGTATTAGTTAACAACCATTGATAAAAATTATTAAGATATTCGCGCATTTTATGCTTGATATACATAATATTCGCATTTATATTCGCGCGATATTTATATGCATTAATGTCACGTTTTACAGAAACGCATTCGAATGATTCATATGCTACAGTTGGCACGATTGAGTGACAGCTATATTTATTTGTACAGTTGAAACTACTGCATTCTAACGGAATTGAAAGTGAAGTGTGCTTTCGTTTTAAATTTAATGGCATGCGATCGTTTGTGGCGTCGGGACGCTTGTGATACAAATTTAATTGATCGAATACAAGCGAGCATCGTGAGTATCTAGGGTTGCCATACGTCCTCTTTTCCCCGGACACCGTCCTCTTTTTTAGGGCATCCGGGGACGTCCGGGGGGATTAATCATTGCATAAACATTCCAATACAATTTCTTATTTACCATTAATAAATTCAGATATCTATATTTTATTATTATTACACAAATATACGTATATAATGGGGTTTTCCGTTCTTTCTAGAAAGATAATTTTCTAGAAAGATAGAAACATAGCCACACGCGCAATATCCTACAAATTCTTTCTTATCTCTTCTCTGAAAATTTCAATTCTCGGAATCGGCGTCGGGTATCGTGTTTGTTTTTTATTTCGACTCGCTCTCTGTCTCTGTCAGTC